TCACTGGGCTCCCTTGCCTCCAACACACACTAGATAGCTAAATCATTGGGATGGTTGCCAGATTTACACTGCCTTGCCTGGGTTATCAATTTAAAAGTCGTGAATTGAAACTTGAGCTTTTCCTGGTGGCCCATAGGGTTTTGGTTCACACGACCAGTTGTGGCAAATGCTTGTTAAAAAAAAGCCTTTTGTAACTGATTGTGCATGGGATTTTGGTTTATTATTAGGACTTTTAGGTTTTTATTGGATAAGGGATAAGTTTAATATTAGGGATTCATTTGAAATGTTCAATAACTTGATTTGTAATAATGGAAAAATATGGCCCATAGGGTTTTGGTTCACACGACCTGTTGTGGCAAATACTTGTTAAAAAGCCTTTTGTAACTGATTGTGCGGGGGATTTTGGTTTATTATTAGGATTTTTAGGTTTTTATTGGATAACGGATAAGTTTAATTTTAGGGATTCGTTCGAAATGTTCAATAACTTGATTTGTAATAATGAAAAAATAAAAGTATGACTAGTATTAGGATACGACATGCATTAAGAATTTAAGATGCATAGTGCTATATGATCGTATGGCCCAAAGTGAGATACTCTGCAGCTAGTCAGTGTGAAATAGATGACAAATGCATGTTATTTCTGAGGTCTAACAAAATCCCGAAGAAGGTGGAGATGCCATCCTGGTGACCTCGAGATAAGTTGAGCCTTTACTTAGGGAAAGAAAGGCATTTATATATATATATATATATGGATATTTGGCACACTAGAATGCTGATTATTAGCTGACGTTGTGGAAGCGTCTACAGCAGTGAACAATTCAGTTGCTAAATGTGCTGCTTTGCTCCAACAAGAAGTATGTAACTAAACATTAAAATTTTCACACTATAACTGTTGTCTGAGTTGAATGAGCTTTGAAATATATCATATATCATTAATCAGTGATGTCAGTAGTTTTTTTATACTTCGTTTAGTTGAAGATTTTTCGTCAATCCCTGGTTCCTTTGCAGCTATTTACTTGAATTTTGTGGCAAAACCATGTCTGAATGTATTTAGTTGCAGATTGATGAACTTGTTGTGCAAGCCCTTAAATTTAAAGTGACAAACAAGAAGGGGAGAGAAGAAATTGAATCTTTTGCTCACCTCTTGTCTGATATGCACACTTCTTTAGAGGTTTGAACCCTATATCTCTGATATTATACTGTACTTGTGCTGTTTTGTTGCACAACTTATAATTGTATATTGTTCCCATAATGCAGCCATGGGTTCCTAGATTTCAGAAAGCACTTGCCTGTCCATCCACAGGGTCCGAGAATCAGTCGGAACATTCTTTGGCGGGTAAAAAAACACTGCCCGCTGCAGATGATGATAAAAGCAATGTTGTTGATAGCCCATATCAAACCAAGTTGGACTCATTAGTCTCTCCATCTCCTCTTGTGTCCTGGCGTGCTGACTGCACTACAGAGAGTGGTAGACAACTGTTCCTGCTCACACCTCTGCCCCGAGCAAAAGCAAGTTCATTCAAATTTCAGGGACCCTCAAAATCAGTGTTTGAAAATATTACATCCGATAATACTGTTGGGCTACCATCTCTTCTTGCTTTATCTGGACATACAGATGATGATTTGCTAGAAAGTGTAGTGATAAAGCTAACTCCAAGTAAAGTGCCTGATTCTGTTGTGACCAAAAATGAAACTGCTATGCAGAGTGGGTTTGTTTCTCCGGCCAAGTTTTCTCAAAGGGATTGCTCTATGTTTGTTATGACTCCACGCCTGAAAATGTCGCCACCCAAGTCCTGTGTATTGCTTGAACCCATTTCAGAGATCTCTCACAAGGATGTTCATGGGGTCCATAAATCAACCCCATTTCCTGTTGGAGTTCAAAATTTAAGTGGATCTCGAGATTCTGAATCTTCCAGCAATCAAGTTTCAGAGCATCTGGTCTTGAAGTATCCGGAGCTATTTGGAATAAAAGCAGCTAATAAGTTGGCAAACAGAAGGACAGTGGTAGAAGAATCACCAAATTGGTTTATGTCACCTCCTAAAACTTGCATTTTAATGGAGCCTCCTGATGAAAATTTGTTGACCAACGCTGCTACCAAATGCCAGGTGCCAAGAACTGCTTTCGTCATTAATCAGAGAACATACTTACCCTCAATGAAGGAAAAAAATAATCAAGACAGTCAATTGCCAACCAAGAAATCTTGTAAGCAAGGTACTATGTGTTCTTTTTATGTATTTATCATGTTGAATTTAATCCCCTGAAATTAGACATTGTGTATATCTTTAATTTAACCTGACCTGAAACTAACCATTGTTTTTTATACCTATTTAATAGCTGGAGGTGGCTCAAAAATCATCGAAAGCACTCCCATGTGGAAGGAGCCTGAAAGCATAGTTCGAGCTGGAAAGCGGCCAGGTGAGAACACCTTAAAGAAGGAGTTGTGGACAAAGTTTGAAGCAGCATCAACTCATGCCATTCGCTTCAATGTCTCTGTTCTTGAGGAGACTTCTCACAGAGGATTTCTTGATCTGTTGGATGAGGCTTGTTGCGAAGAAAGAAGTCAAGGCCCTGAGGGTTTAAGATAATAAATCTCATTTTTCATGTTACGAGATTTTGAAACTGTAGGTGGTGTATGGCTGGTGGTGTTAAGAAGCTCTGGAATGGTTGTATGTATGTATGTATCCTTCTTATGAGATCATCTAAAAGAATTTTGTTTCGTGGACTATGAATGTTTTAAACCAAATAATAGAAACCCTGTTCCTCTCACCAACCCACTCGGGTCGGCCTCCCTCTCTTTGCCTGGGCTAGCTAGTAGCTATATGCAAGAATTACATGCCAATTTTTTTTGTTCATGCGTAAGATGTGTAACATATTCAACCTTCGTGGCAGGGAATTCAAGATTTTATAAGTTTGTATAAGGGCATGCAAGGAATTCAAGAATTTTCTGATTAGATCAGGGCAGGATTTGAACAAATTCAACATGAATTGTAACCCGATATCAGTCCGAATTATATAACCCAAACCTGACCCGAATTCTAATTTGAAATATGCTTGAATTACGTAAATCAAATTCATCACAAACACATAGTATTCACCTAAAATAAAAACTAATAACTTCAATCAAATATTTAATATAAAAACATAATGGTCAAATGTTTAACATAAAATTGAACTAAAAGATTGATCCCTAGTGTTATAATTTGTAAGTTATATTGTTATATTGATTTATATATTTATTTTTAAATATTTTTGGATTGAAGCTGATTTATAATTCGGGTTGAGTCCAATTTATATATTCGTGTTGAATCCGATTTAAAAATTTAGGTTGAGCCCAATTTATATATTCGAGTTGAATTCTTAAAGTATTGATTGTGTTTTCATAAGTGACTTCCATCCAAATTCATCACAAACACTAAATGGTCAGTCAAATTCAGAGGGACATTTTCGTCAGACTTAATCATTGACTTCACTTTTCATTCATCTGTAACTTGAGCAAGACAACTCGAATTCAACTCAAATCTAACCTGAGAATAGGGTTCAGGTTGAGGTTAATACTTTGGGTTGGGTTTGGGCTGAAAAACACAATCCAAATTAATTCGGGTTGAATACCTCAAATTAATGTTGAGATTGAAAATTATATACTTAAAATTAGATTAGAATTGACCTCTCAACCTGTTTGAGTTGCGCCCCCTACCTACAACTGTTGCCCATATCCAAAACACAGAAAAAACTGCTCAAAGATTGGGACTAGGCAAGACCAAAAAAAATAACTATATGCAACAACTTTTTCATTGTGCACACACAAATCCCACTAAAATGAGTTTTGCAAATATAAGACCATATTTCGACAGTTAAATTAGTATTTTAATAAGAAAAATTATCTCTTGACCTACACTTCCGGATTGCCATTGTGGCATCTCTAACTTGATCACCCTCAAAGGTCTGGTTCGTTTGCTTCTGATGATGTATGCTTCCCTCACCAAGACTTTTTTGTTTTGAATGGATTAAGGATTTTTTTTACTAGGTCGATATAAGTTAATAGTAATGGTCAATGATATAACTATGATTAGAGTGATAGGTGAAGGCAATGGTTGAGTTAGATGAAAATACTACTCTGAATTTGATTGACCGTTTGGTGTTTTGTGATGAATTTGGACAAAAATCTCTCGTAGAAACATAATTAATACTTTACGGATTAAATTATGCAAATCAAAACTCCAAGGACCAAATCGAAGCTGCATCAATACATTAAGGGTATAATTTGCAATTTACCCTCACTTATTTCCCAATTGCCTGATGCAAGATCTTCAAACTTATTATGTGATATTTTTTTCCCCCCTATTTTCATGGCCTTTCTAAATTAATAGTTTGCATGGTTTCATTGTAATTTACAATGCTTTAGGCTTGAAATTATAAATAATTAAAGGTTATTTACTTAAAAGAATTTATAAAATTTAGATGGAAAAAGACAACAAAAAGAGGTGTATTGTTAAAAACAAAATATTGTATCTTAAAAAGAAGAAGAAAAAACAAACTGTATATTATTTTTGGGACTAATTTGTTATAACGTAACACAAAAATATAACTCAAATATTAATATCAAAATAAATCATTTATGGGTTGTTGCGTTTCTACTTTCTCCATTAATCGTGAATAACAAAATTCACTAAATGAGATAATATCGGGAGCTAATGTTTACTCTAATATTGGCATTGAACATTGGATACACATCATCTTGGACATTTGTCTACATCTCATTGGCTCCCATAACATCAAAGAAGTGTTAATGTTTAAAGATTTTTAAGGAGTAACATAAAACTTTGAATTTTTAAGGATTAACATAAAACTTAGAATTTTTAAGGGGCCATAGTCAAAATTTGAATTGTTTTGGGGCAAATAAGAGTAAACACAACTTTCGCGGTTCTCCTTGTTTTTGCTTGCGTACAGCCACAACCGAGTCCCCATCGTTAGAAACTTAGAAAAGCCAAAACCCTCGCCGGTCGCCACCGATAAACCCCAGTCTCTGTGTATGTCGGGTTCGCGCGCAAAAACAATGGCTGCTTCAGCTGAATATGTGAAGCACATCGAGTCGTATGTTGACTCGTCCAGCTCTGCGACTCAGCAGGTTCAGTATTCAACTCTCTTCTCTAAATTTTTGTAGTGTTCCATTTGTTTTACGATCAACAGTAACTTCAGGAAAAAAAAAAGCAATATGAAACGTTATGAAACATTATATTCAAAGTTTTATATACTTTTAGTTCCATGTACGTGAAGGGTAATTATGTGGAATTGTCTTCTCTTTTGATTTGTTTGGACTAATTTGGTTCGTGTATGAATATGAAGTTGTCAATTAGTTCGTACTTCGTGCACATTGTTTGATTATTAGAGTTTTTGTCAGAACCAGGGGAATTTAGTAGCTTTAATGTTAGTTAGTTATTGCTGATTAGTTCAATTTGAAGGCCAAAAAACTGGGCAAATTTCACTTTACTTACGCCTTTCACCTTAGAAAATAACCACTTAACCCTCAATGTGGTTTGTGGAGCACAGTTCGCCACTGACTCCGTGAATGTTACTTGTTAAATGCCCGCAATACCTCCCATTTATAGAATAGATACGTGTAATTTTTTTCCTAAATTGCTTCCCTCTCTACATTTCTCTTTCTGTCTCCTCTTTTATATTGACATACTTCCTATTCTTCTGTTATATACAATTGTAATATACAATTCATGCACATAAAAAAGTTCCAAGATTTTTTGAAGCTTTGGCGCAAAACCTTTTTTTTCACCCGAATTGGGTCTCTGCCCGTAAAGTGGGAGAATGAAGTTTGGCACTGATCATTTGTTTCATTTGATCTTTGATATAAACAAACTTGAATTACACAATGACGCACAGAATGCAAAAGGGATACTTTCACGACATTGTGCAATTTTATCTCAAATAACCTTCTGCTATGCTTTTGCTTGGTAAAACTGAATATTCAGTGGCAGTGCAGAAGAAAAAAGTCAGTGCACATTGCTGGCTATGGTGTAGGGTTGGGATTGTGGCTGAAGATGTGGGTTAGCGGATTGGACTTCAGAGTTTAAACAATATTGGTGGTTTAAACCCTTGGACGGTGGTTGTCTAGGTTTAGGTGGTCGCTGAAATGATTAAAACTTACGGAGGTGGGTATAGGGTTTGGAATGTGGTGGCGGTTGTTGAAGTCTTTTAGTTAACCTGGGACCAAAATTGTAACAACGCACTTATAGGTCCACAAACTAAATGAGGGTTATGTGGATATTTGAAGGTGAGGTAGGTGATGCATAGAAGGGCCTAACTAACCATGGATAGTAAAGTGAAATTTGCCCAAAAAAATTATTGGTGTTGGGATGTTTAAAACTTGCTTGGTATGCTGTTGAATTTCAGGCTGCAAGTGTAGATGCAATTGCTGCTCTCTTGAAGAATGACATGCTAACTGTAGAAGCACTGGTAAGCTTCAGTTGTAATTCTTGTTGCCATTGCACTTTAAGATTGATTGACTCATTATGATCAGTTTTATATATCTTTTTTCGTATATATACCCTCTCTAATAAACATTATCATTTGTTATATAGGTTAAAGAGATGGAGATGTATTTGACCACTACAGATAGCATCATTCGCGCTAGAGGTATTCTACTGATATTTTATTGCTGGTTGCATTACCCAACATCCCTTCCTTTTTAATAGTAAATCTATAGCCAAATCCAAAAGCTTTCAATGATTATTTGTACAAGGTTTTGAATAAAATCAAAGGATCATCTTGAATATGAGTGCAATTTAAATTATCATTGTACAAGGTTTTGAATAAAATCAAAGGATCATCTTGAATATGAGTGCAATTTAAATCTCAACAAGCATATTTTTCTTATTTTGCCCGTATGATAAAATCTCGTTCTGTACCTTGTGAATTAGTATGGGAACAATTCATTTTTATGGCTTCACTTTGGGCCAAAGTCACAGGATGTTTTAGAGGGTTGCCTTTGTTGGATCTTCAAAGGAATTGGATGGCGGCTTTACTTTAGTTTTACTTTCTGCTTTTTTATTCATTTGTGATGATATCTTGGCATCTACATTGTATTATGCTTTTTATTCATTTCTATAATAAAATTTTTCTTTTATCAAGAATAAAAATAAAAAATGTGTATGGTAAAATCTAGGATGATTTATAATTTCAAACTACTTTTACCTATTGTACATTGGGCTGGTTATTTAAAATATTCCCTTTTACAGCAGATGACTGAGAACTTCTCATACAAGCTTCAATATTTGGTGTTATTTTCGTGTATGATACTCTATTATATTTGACACATGGGTGTCCTCTAAACAAAATCGTGCTTATATTTGACACAACTAGAATGGACGGATAAATAACGTTCATGAACTTCAGAGAGAATGGAATGGCCTCTCCTACTACATGGCATTGTTTCTAACTTTCAAGCTAAATTTTCTTGACATAAATTGAATGGCCCCTCTATTTCCCTTTGGTTTACCTTGCTCTACTCATTGAAATTGACTCGAGGGAACTAGCACATACATAGTTTTACTATCTGGATCGAAGAATGAATAAACATAGTTTTTGGGTAAATATCAATAAGCACAGATTCTTTCACTAGGTAGGGAGGGAAGCAAAAGGCCAACTACCCCAGTTCTTTCGTAATGCATTCTTGTTCCACCTTCATTGATGAATTTATCACGATGTGACACCAATGGAACTCAACATTGGATTTGTGAGGGTAAAGATACATCTTTTCAAGATCAAATGCTATTCAGGGTTTTAAAGAAAAATCCATGTTCATCTGCCAAAGACAATCTTAGAGTCAACATTACTGTATTCTAAACCACCTTCAACCTCTAGGAATAGCTATGGTTTAACATATTGTCATTATTACCTCTTACTGTAGGGAATTGCTTTGGATCTTCTCAACCCTGAACACAACTTTATAGGGACCTTGAATAACTGGATGATTCTGTAAGAGAGTGATCTTAACAGTAAGATAAATATGAGTCACTAGACTTGACAATTTTTAATTAAGCTTCTTCATGAGCAATGATCTTTGGGTTTTAGACATGCTGCCCCAATTCAGCCCCAGCTGATTTTGTAGTGAGATGCTCCTGTGTGGGCTTAACACTTGGGACATATGTTAATGCATCTACTGTTGTCTTCAACAGCATAATTAGATCACGTGAGCATATTGGTGATAAATCATTTTTTTTCATTCTTACCATATGTTTGAGAAATATTATTTTCTATGAAGGTTTCCACATTTTTACTGTCCTGTTGCTGTTCAGGTATCCTCCTCCTCGGAGAATTATTGACAAAATTAGCATCAAAGCTTTTGGACAATGCTACTATACATAGCTTAATAGGATTCTTCACAGAAAGGCTGGTGAGTAAGCAATCTTGTAATGTAGTGTTATGCACTAAGACTTAGTTGTATTTATGAACATGCCTACATTGTTTTGGCTGTTATTTTCATGGCTTTCATTTTCCGTTTGCTTCATAAATTCATTCTTTTCTCTACTTCTGTTGCTCTTTCTTCCTTGAACTACTAGATATCATATTTCATGCTTTTTGGGTACTAATATCTGATATTAGGATTTGTGCTTGTTTCATTGGCTTAGTCAAGTCATAATCCAATTATTTCTGTTATATACATTAATCTATATTACTAACAAAAATGGTTTAAGTGAAAAACTTTTGATTTTTTCATTTATCCTTTAATAATTCTATAATGTCTACTTGAGAAATTTTTTTTCAAAAATTCTATAATATCTACTTTATCATTTTTTGAGGAATTTTTCATTTTTTTATTAGTTGCACTAATTCAACTAATAAATTCATTATTTAACTTTTGATTATCTTCTTTTGAAACAATATAAATTCGATCTAAATCCAATTTGAACAATGTGATCCGATTTCGATTCAATTGTCCAAGGAATTTTATTTTTCACAATGCATATATGAATCCGTTAGAATAAATATTTGTTATAATCCGAATAAGTTGATTAGAGATGATTTTAACATTTCATACATGGATTTCTACTCAATTTTATTAAATAATCACCAAACTACATCATATGTTTGTCGATACATAGTGCATAGCCAAATTTGCTAAAAACCGAACATTTGAATATATCTAATAATGATACTACTTTCGAATGTTAGTGCTTGTCAAAAAAATTTAATTGATAATACTATATTTAAAAGGTAAAAAGACAATAATAACCTATTGTAATAACTTCTTATTGATTCAAGAAATTAGTAGTCATCCATCTATTAATCACTTACTGAAGTTAAACATTATAATTTTTAAATACAATACGATGCAATTAATTATTTTTTTTGAACCTTATGCAATTCAGGTCATACAACTCAAAATACGAGAAAATTCTTGAGCGTAACAGTTATCTCACGGCAGCAGTATCACTTTGTGTAACCGTTCACTAATAAGTGGACAAGTAAACCCCATAAAACTCAATAAGTGTAACTATCATGTAATATATAATCATCTCTATATATAAAAAATTGGTCCAATTTATCTATTTTTATTGGACAAATACGCTTACATTGAATATTTAATCCTAAAATACAATGGTAATTATTGGGAGTTACTGCCAACTGAAGAAGCATGACTGTTGTACAATTCTAGGAGTTTCATAACTCCAACTCAGAATAAAACAGGTGAAAAGTTGGCCGGCTAAGTTTTTGGGTCCTATAAAAATGCCCAAATATTCTCTCCTTGGACCCTTCAAACTTGCGATTTGGAAGGGATCCAGGCCGAAGGTTTGTATTACATTTGGATTGGTGTTATCTATTGTGAGTAATAAAAGTCTTGATCATTAAAAGTTTAGTAAGCATGCATCTGTAATAGTATTTTCAGTGTGTGATGGGTCATCGCAAGTTTTGGATCGCATTTCTTACATCGTTGAGCCAATTCAGCTCTATCTCTCTGATCTCTTTCTCTCTCACTCACACACACACACACAAACATTTTGTTGAGTTGTAGATCAATGACACATTTTCAGAAAAAGTTATATATATTAAGCGGAAGTAAGATTACGGCTAGAAGTGCTAATGAAACTCTTTGAATATTGGACATCTATGTAGTCCTATAGTGACAAAATATTCCACCCCCCTCTCTCTTGGGTGTTGTACTTAATTTGAGATGGTCTTTGAAAAAGGTTGCTTATTGAGGGTTCTTTATTTTTTTGAGACATTTTCTCCTAAATATTTTATAGATTTTATTAGGAAAATATTTGATACATGAGGGCAACCTATCAATTGTATCTTTTTCTCTCAAAGGATAAAATTTTTCAGTAGCATAATTGTCGATTTTAGTGCTTGAGACAACTTTTATGGTTGGATCACTCACTGCCTTAGCCATTATTGATGGATATAAGTTTTTTGAGATTTTTCTAAGAATCAATTATTCATATACTTTTGAATATAAATATCTATGTTCATGTTGATGGAAAATGGAAGTCACATTACAAAGAAAAGAATTTCCGAAATGACCTTAAAAGTTAATAAATGCTAGATAGAAAAGGATGGGTCCGGACGGCGTTTGTCCCAACGCGGAAACCAAATGC